GATTTCCATTTTTTGCAGTGTAGCTGGGTTTTCCTGTATTCAGCCCGGATCAGATCCTCTTTCTTTACTAAAGAACAGCATCCCACAGCATGAGGCTGCCACCACCATGTTTCATTGTGGGCATACTGTATTTCTGAGATGTGCGGTGTACATTTTTTAACCACACATTTCACTTTACCTTAAGTCACGGAGGTTTTTGTAATTGCTCCATCTAGCTCCCCACAGCCTTCCTTTTTTTATCCGAATCTGAAAGCAGCTGTAAACAGATCAGGCTGTTGTTTTATGGCCTCTGCAAACCAAACCTTGGACTGTAGTGCCACTCAAGGGTTCTTCTCTTGTCTTCTAGCAGAACGGTGAAGAATCCTCATAGAAAACGCTCCCTAAAGCTTATGGAAAGCCTTCAGCTGCAGCTGTAGGAGGACTAAAAGACGGGCCACCATCATAATAAACCCTAGAAGTCAGTAACGAGGAGGAAGACGAGTAAATACTGTTGGCAATGGGCCGTTTCTCCCTCCCAGGATGTAATAAAAATGCAACAGTCATTTGCCGGTTTTATTTTTATAAGTAAATCAAAGTCTTTGAAAAGATGACCTGTGGTTCTGCTGGCTCGATTTGAGAAGCTGGATGTGGGACAGAAAAGCTTTTTTTCCCCCCCTTCTGTTTTCTATTAGTATCTGCTCATAGCATATTAGGCATGACTGACAAGTTTTGTGGTTATGTTGAGCTCTTGCATCACGTCGGGTAGACATGGGGGTGGCGGTCAAACATTTCTAACACGCTAACTGACATGAACCTCTGGGACTTGAAGGCCACTTGTTTGTGTCATGATTCTTGTTAGGCAGCACATGTTCTTCTGCATTTGCATTAGGAAGACCTGCCAGCCATAAAATCTGGGTGGTAATATCTGACAGAAGGTTTAAATTAGCAAGAATGTCAAAGTTCTTGTTTCTAGTTATACTTTATTGTTTTGTTTTCCTATCCTTTAGGCCATTAAATTTCAGTTGTTGCTGAAATTGTCAAAAGAATCAGCTGAGAGATTTAAAGTCCTCTACTCAGCGGAAAATCACTACATGTGTTCGATTACAAAAAAGTAAAAAAAGAAAACAATCCACTGGACTTTGGTCGCTCCATAGACCTCAGAGCTAAACCATGATGTTGCTCGTGAAGATGCTCAGTCATCCAAGTCATGGTTAATCCAAAAACGTTAAAAAACAATCCACTGGACTTAGTTTCCAAGTTTGAAGATGTTTCTCTTCCCATCCAGGAAGCTTTTTCAATTCAAAATGTCAGAAATAGTGTTGAGTTCCAGGTTTTATACAGTAGCCCAACAAAGCCTTGTTTTAGTTTAGAAAACGTGCAAATTGAACCAAAGGAAAATGTCTGCACTGGAAAAATCGAAATCTAGATAAGTCGTTTTTTTCTTAAAATAAGTGCATTTGTTCTTGGATTGAGGAGGTAAA